GGCGTTGATGGTGACAGTGAGTGATTAGGTGAGTGAGTGCAGATTCGTAATCACTTTTGATCCTCCTCCTTCCTTCGCCCTCCCCCTCATCTTAGTCCGCCTCCTCCTTTAAACAATCCCCTTGCTGTTGTGGAACAGGCCTGGAGCTTTCGTGGAACAGAGCTTCGTGGGGGAAAAAAAAACGCCGTGGAACCAAGCCTCGTTGAACGGAGCCTCTGTGGAACGCAACTTTGTGGAGCGAGCTCAGAGTCTCAACGGGGCGGGCCCCGGACCATTGTGGAACGAGCTTGCTATTCTCGCGAACGGGCGCAATGCGTTTTTGCGAACGGGGCCCGAAATAAGCCTTTTGCGAGAGAACCTCGGAAGGTGATCGGGGCCCGAGACGGCGCAGGTCAGCGCCGTTCAGCGCGGGTCACGCAGGTCAACGCAGGTCAAGCAAGTCAGCGCAGGTGCGCAGGTCAGCGCAGATTTGCGCAGTCCACGCGAGACTTTGCCGAGGAGAGAGCCCGACGCGACCCGCTGACAGGCGTGCGCTGACCTGCGTTGACCTGCGCTGACCTGCTTGACCTGCGCTAGCCTGCGCCTCCGTGGGATCGCTTGACCTGCGCTGACCTGCGCTGACTTGCTTGACCTGCGCTGACCTGCGCCCATGACCCTGACTATGACGAATGTCGTCCGTCAGGGCGTCGCCCCCTGCCCCAGGCCGCCTTTTTGTCAAAACGGGCGACGTAAGAACTATAGCAGGATGTGTTGGCGCCGTTTTGAAGACATTATGATGCTGACGCCAATGGCGATGATGCTGATGCTGACGCCGATGGTGGTGGTGATGGAGGTATTGCTCATGATGCTGCTGCGGGCGCTGGTGATGATGATGACAATGTTGATCGTGTTTCAGGGCGTGGTTTGCGGGGACGCGAGCATTGCGCAATGAGCGGGGGACCGCCGCTACGGTGACGCAACTACAGCGTGATTTACGGAGGCGCACGGCCTTGAGGACGCGAACACCGCGTAACTTACGATGGATTGCGGCCCCGAGGATGCGAACATCGCGTAGTTTACAAAGGATACGGTTTCGAGGAAGCGCTATGGCATAGGGTGCGTGTAATTTGCGGCTCCGGGGACACGAACATAGTACAATGTACGAAGGGGTCGTGGCTTCGGGGGCACGAGCATTGCGTAATTTGTAGGGGGCCCTGGCTTCGGGGACGCGAACATGGCGTAATTGTTTAACCCACCCAGGAGCCCTGCCCATGAGAGCTGACGGATAAAGGAGAGAAGAGACACATAGTGAAACAGAGCGTGCAAGGAGAGGAGAGGAAGGAGGGCGTTGAGCCATTTTGGAGGCTATCTTGGAGCACCGGAGTCGGGGCTGTATTGGGGGATATTGAGGCCTTCTTTGGGCTGTTGTGGGGCATTTTGGGGCCCTCTTAGGGCTTTTCGGAGGGTCTTGGGGTTTTCTTAGAGGGTTTTGGAGGGGCGCCTTGGGGCCCTCATGGGGCCCTCTTGGGGCTCTGTTGGGGCTCTTTTGGGGCCCTCTTGGGAACTATGGGGCGCCTCCTGGGGCCATCTTGGAGACAATCGATCAAAGGAGTGGGGGTCCTCGATTTTCGCCGCCAATCGAAATAGCCTTTTGGGGCGCTCTTGGGGCCTTTGGGGGGCTGTCCTCAGTTTTTGGGCGTTTGTGATGCAGTTTTGGGGGTCTCTTGGGCCCTTCTTGTAGCTTTCCTGGGCCATCTTAGGGCCATTTCCTGGCCTCAAATGCGCATCAGAAGCGAAGAGGCGAAAAGGCACAAATCATGTTGTTCCAAAGTGTTCGGAAGATTTTGGCTTCTCGGGGAGGTCCTGAGGGGTCGCCAAAAGCACTTGGAACCGTCTTGTGGCCCTCTTGGGGCCTCTTGGAGGCATGTTGTTCCCTACCTAGGCTCTGCCTAGAGGGTTCTTACTCTCTTTCTTAAAGGGGCCAGGCAGTGGAAACGGCCCCGGGCGGTTCCCCCGGTATCCGCCCCGCGGTTCCCCCAGTTACGTCCCCTTAGCTCAGCGTTGCTTATCTCATCGTAGCTTAGCTTAGCTTATTTCATCTTAGCTTAGCTTAGGCTAGCTTAGCCTAGCCTAGCTTAGCTTAACCTAGCCTAGCTTAGCTTAGCTTAGTTTAACTCAGTTTAGCTTCGCGCAGCGCAGCGCAGCATCAGCATAGCATAGCACAGCACAGTATATCATGTCGTAGCATAACATAGTATAGCGCAGCATATCATAGCGCAGCATATCATAGCATAGCATAGCATAGCGCAGCATGACATAGCATAGCTTAGTTCAGCATAGCACAGCGCAGCATGGTATAGCATAGCATAGCATAGCATAGCGCAGCATAGCATAGCATAGCGTAGCGCAGCATAGCATAGCATAGCGCCGCATAGCATAGCATAGCGCCGCATAGCATTGCATAGCAAAGCATAGCATAGCATAGCGCAGCATATCAGATCATAGCATAGCCTAGCATAGCATAGCATAGCGCATCATAGCATAGCATAGCATAGCGTAGCGCAGCATAGGCAATGCAAAGCAAAGGCAAAGCAAAGGCAAGACATAGGCATAGTATAGAAAAATGCAAAGGCAAGGCACTGCACAGCAGAAGCAAAACCAATGCGAAAGTGTAGATGTAGATATAGCTGCTGTATGCGTAGGTGTAGATGTGGATGTAGGTGTAGATGTAGGCGTAGATGTAGATGTAGATGTAGGTGTAGGTGTAGGTGTAGATGTAGATGTAGATGTGAGTCTCGCTGCTGATGTTGATGTAGATGCAGATGCAGGTATAGATGTTAATGTAGCTGTCGGTGTAGATGTAGACGTTGCTTTCCTAGATGCTCCAACTCCTAGGTAGGGTCGCACTGGGATAATTAGCTATCTTGAACCACGTTGGGCTATCTTGAGCGATCTTGGAGGCTATCGTGGGTTTTCTGAGGCCCTCTTGGAGCCATCTTGGGCGAAATAGGGCCCTCTGACACCTCGCGGCCCGCCCCGTCCAGGTCCAGGGGAGAGGGCTGGGAGAAGGGTCAAGCTACCCACCAGCCCGCAAGCCGTCTGGCTCACTCCTACCCGCCCTCCCAACAAATACGTAACACCTGAGCCTGAGCATGTTCAGCGGTCGTCTTTGGATGGACAACTATTAGGAACCAAAGCCGACCCCAGGTGCGCGGCGTTTGGGCGAGGTGCGCCACGCGTGCGAGCGGCGCCACGCGCGCCAGGCGGGCCCGAGTGTGCCAGGCACCCCTGGTGCGCCAGATGCGCCACGTGCTCCGAGTGCGCCAGGTGTGCCGCACACTCCCGCCGCGCCAGGTGCGCCACGTTCGGGATACGTGCAGAGTGCGTCAAGTGCGCCTGCGCACGCGAAAGCACACATCGGGAAACATGTCGGCCCCCACCATCCTTGTCGAAAGCCAATGCCCATCACTGTGCCTGGTGGGCCTGCGCACAATAGGCCACGCGCCACCACCTTCGCCGTCCCTATCAAAAGCCATTTGACAGTGATCGCGGGGTGGTCGCGCATGATCCAGATTTAGCCGCGAGGTGCATGTTGTATTGTTTGTTGTCAGGGATGGTAGCCCTGCGCACAGCAGGGAAAATGCTGACACCCCCGCCGCCCCTGTCAAAAACAATACAAAGTGTCCGCGGCCGCACGAACATGAGCAAAGACTTTGCCCCAAAGTGTACGTTGCATTGTTTTTTGGAAGGGGTGGTGGGGGGGGCGCATCGGCTTGGCCGCGCATGCTCCAAATGTGGAAGCAGTGAGTTTTGTATTGTTCGTTGACAGAGATGGTGGGGGGGGGGGCCGTCATGGGGTTGGCATGGTTCCAGGTTGGCCGCCGGCCAGGTGGGGGAGGGGGTGTATACTTAATAGGGAACAGTGAGAAACCCTTCCCCGAAGTGGAAGAAGGGGTTGTGGACGAGGAGGAAGACAGCGTTAGACCACCCGTCGCCCAGAGGGCTGGTGGGATTTATTGGTGATCGTGGTTTCGGTGACGCAAACATTCTAATGTACGAAAGTTTATAGCGCGAAGAACTCGAACAAGGCGCAATTTGGAGAGGGTCGTGGCGTCGGGGACGCGAATATAATGTAGTAATGTACTGCGGGTCGTCGCCTCGGGGACGCGAACATTGCGTAGGGGCCGTGGCATGGCTTCGAGGACGCAAACAGGGGGCAAATTACAAGGGATCGTGGCCTTGGGAGCACGAACGTAGCGTAATCTATAGATGATTACGGCTTCGGGGACGCGAATTCGTCTATTTTACGAAGGTTTGTGGCCACGGTGACGCAGATCTCGCTTGATTTGCAATAGATTATAGATTCGGTCGGGTTTATGTTTCTGGGCACGCGAATACCGTGTAATTTGGGCGCGGGGGTTCGCGTCGGAGGCGCGAATCTCATGTATTCTCACGTGCCCGACGAGCCCCCAAGAATTTTGAGACACCCGGGAGGGCGTGGTAAAAGCTGGTTTGGGGTCCCCGCCCCCGCGCGCACTCCAACAGTTTACATTCGAAAACAGCACACAGAATCATCACCACAGTGGAAATTTGAAACTGGGCAGCAGGCTGAATCCCCGCAGCCTGGTGGTGGCCCCACACGGGGGGCCGCGGACTACGTTTCTCTCCTTTTTACTTTTCCTTCGTCGTTCCCCCTTATCACCCATCCCTCCTCATTGTCCTCCTGTTCCTCTTCATGCTATCTGCTCTTCCCTCATGATTATCCCTCCGCCGCTCCTCAATCGTCGTTCTCCTCCCTTTTCCCTCCTCCCTCCTCTCCCGCGCGCGGGACGAGGGCGAAGTGCGAGGGGTGAGGGAAAGGGGGAGGGAAAGTGAAGGCACAAATACGCAGGGAGTCGGGCGGAGAGGAGAAGGAGGAGGAGGAGGAGGAGGAGGAGGCAGAAGTGACGACCACAACGGCGACCACGACGGCAAAAACGACGACCACCGAGCGCCGAGCGCCGAGCGCACTGCCCCGCGAGGAGACCCGCGAGCCACAGGGTGTCGTCCGCGCAGGTGCGCCCCAAGAGGTCCTCGGAGGCGCAGGACCCTCCGCGGCCTCCGCGGGAGGCCTCCTCCGAGGCTCGCTCTCGGAGCACGGCGGATCCCCTCGCCTTCCCCCGACCCCCTCGCGTCGTGAAAACAACTACGACGGAGGTTTTTCACTATCTTCGGCCTCTGGGGGCCCTGGCCGGGCCTCGGGAAGGTCAAAAAACGATGCGGGCTGAAAAGCCGGTCCCGGGGAGGGGACCAGGCCTCTGGGGGTCGACGTGGTGGAAAAAAACATGACGTCGGGGGTCTGGGTCTCCCGCGGTGAAATATCACGACGACCCGTCTTTGACAAGTTTCGGCCTCGGCATCCCTCGCTGGGCCCCGGACCGTCAGGACCAGTCGGGGTAAAAAAAAACTGGTCCCGAGGGAGGGGTCTATAGACCTGCGGGGGTTCCGCGCTGCGAAAAGATCGCGACGTCGGAGGTCTTGGAAGCGAGTCGCGCGTCGACGCGGCTGCGACCCCGCCGCGGGCGGTCAGGGTGGAAGGCCGCCGGCGGCTCAGAATTGGCCAGTACGGGAGGATCTGGCGATCAAGAAACGTCTCCTCCTCCTCCTCCTCTTCCTCCTCCTCCTCCTCGTCCTCCTCCTCCCCCTCCCCCTCCCCCTCCTTCTCCTCCTCCTCCTCCTCCTCCTCCTCCTCCTCCTCCTCCTCCTCCTCCTCCTCTTCCTCCCGGCCGCTCGTTCGAGATGGGAGGATCCGCGCAGCGGCAGAGACCAGTGCCAGTCGGCGGCACGCCAGCATACTGATGCTATGTGTGCATCGCCCCCCCCAGGGGCGGCGCGCGCACCGAGAGATCTTGTAGCATATGCGTCATGGCGGGCGCTTGCTGGTCACACCGCTCGGGAGACAGTACACTACAAGATGGGTATACTATATCTTCGGGTCGGACGCGCGCCCCCAGGGAGGACATGTAGTATCAGTGCGTCTCTGTGCGAGGAGGGCGAGGAGGGAGAGGAGGAGGATGAGGAGGCGAGGAGGGCGAGGAGGGCGAGGAGGAGGAGGAGGAGGAGGACGCCGAGGAGAACGGGGCACCCCCGCCGAGGACCTAGGCTCTCGGCCTGGGGTGGACATATTCACAGCGTGGAGGGACGGCAACACGCCCTACGACAAGAAGGTGCCCCCCCCCCATCTGTTCCCCTCTGCCCATGCACCCCCTCTGCCCCTCCTCCCCCCTCACCCTCCTCCTCACCCTCCTCCTCACCCTCCTCCTCCTCTTCCTCATCCTCGCTAACCCGCGGCCGGGATCAATCCTCCTCCTCCTCTTCCTCCTCCTCCTCTTCCTCCTCCTCCTCCTCTTCCTTCTCCTGCTCCTCCTCTTCCTCTTAATCCTCCTTCAGCTTCAGCTCCTCCTCCTCGTCCTCCTCGCTCCTCCTCCTCGTCCTCCTCCTCCTCCTCCTCCTCCTCCTCCTCCTCCTCCTCCTCCTCCTCCTCCTCCTCCTCCTCCCCCCCCTCGTCCTCCTCGTCCTCCTCCTCCTCCTCCTCCTTCTCCTCCTCCTTTCCTCCTCCTCCTCCTCCTCCTCCTCCTCCTCCTTCTCCTCATCATCATCATCATCATCCTCCTCCTCCTCCTCGCCCCTCACCCTCCTCCTCCCCCTCCTCCTCCCCCTCCTCCTCCTCCTACTACTACTACTCCTTCTCCTCCTCCATTGGCGCTGCTCAGCCCTGCCTGCGCTTTACCGCTCCGGGTGGCGAGGTCGAACGAGAGTTCAGGGGCCCCCTTTGCATCAGTTTGGAAGCTGGGCTGCTCATCCAGAGCGAGCCAACACGCGTGCGACCTACCCCGGCATTACTGCGTGTTCCGCAATGCGCCTCTCCATAAGGGTACAAGAGAAGCACGCAGGCACGCGCGGATGTGTAAGCACGCGAGCGCAAACGAAGGCATCATGCTTGCACACACCTGCACACACAAATCATAGACCAAACAAACGATCACCATCCTCAGTAGCATTACCGTTATCATCATCAGCATCATCACCATGCTTGCGCGCGCACGCGCACACACACACACACACAAGTACACTCGCACGCACACGCACAGACACACACACACACACACACATACAGTCGCACGCACACACGCACGCACGCACGCACGCACGCACGCACGCACGCACGCACGCACACACACACACACACACACACACGCACGCACACACACACACACACACACACACACACACACACACACATACACCACACACACACACGCGCATACTTTTTCCGTCGGCGGCGAGGCAGACGAGCTGCACCAGCGATGAGCGATCGGGGCGACCGAGACGAGAAGTGGCTGGCATGCAGGAGAGGCAGGACTAGACAGGCAGGGCGGCCGCGAAGGACAGGAGGAGGCGGAGGGCACACAGACGCGGAAGAATTCCACACTGAGCGCGCCGGCGCGGCCAGCAGCGGCAGCGGGGGCCGTGGCAGCAGCCAGGCCGCGGCGTCGGTGCACCCACGGGCGCTGCCGATGCACATTACGAGGCAGCAGAAGTAGAAGCGAAGACGGAGTCCAGGCTTCGGACTGCCAATTGCCAAGTGCTGTTCCCACTAGGTGACAGGCTGGGGTGATGCGCTCCAGCGCAGTGTCCGCCAGCTCGGCCACCAGGGGGGGCTGCACGTCAGGAGCGGCAGCAAGCGGCGCCATGGCGGCGCGCGAGGGGGGGGAGGGAACAGGCACAGGGGAGGAGGGGGGGGGGTGCAAGGGAGGAGGAGAAGCGCTCCGCCAGCAGGGAACCCCCGACAGGCGGGGCGGCGGCGCCCCGCAGCCCAGCACCGGCGGCGCCCGAGCCAGGCGCGGGGGGCCCCGCCGCCGTACAGCGACAGCGCGTGGGGCTGCACAGCGGGGCGGCAAAATTGAGGCCGCGAGGCCCGTGGGGAACCAAGTTCCGGCTCGCCCAGGTGGCCTGCGCCAGGGACGGACCTGGCCCGGCAGGTAGAGAGAGATGGAGGAGGAGGAGGAGCAGGAGGAGGAGGAGGAGGAGAAGGAGGAGGAGGAGGAGGAGGAGGAGGAGGAGGAGGAGGAGGAGGAGGAGGAGGGAGGAGCACTTCATCGGTGCAACACCATGTGGAATCAGGCCGCGCACCGCCCGGGGAGGACAGCGCGCGGCAGAATTGGGGGCACCTAGTCGGTGCAACTTTTTGCAGGAATCGGGCCACGCACCGCCCGGGGAGGACAGAGCACGGCAGAACTGGGCGCACCTAATCGGTGCAACTTCTTGTGGACGGGGGAGAGGCCACGCACCGCCAGGGGAGGACAGCGCGTGGCAGAACTGAGGGCACCTAGTTGGTGCAACCCCTTGTGGAAACAGGGCTGCGCATCGCCCAGGGAGGACGGCGCGCAGCGTGTAGGCCGCGTAACCTGGCAGGGCCATTCGCAGGCGCAGCAGGGGCTGGCACCGTGTCAGGCAACGAACCGGTGGCGATAGTGTACCGCAAGGCGGTCTGGCCAGAAACGCCGCGCTTGGCCGCAGCGTCGGAGGCTTCATGTCTTGGATCCTGGCTGTGTCCCTTGACGTGCTGCCAGCGCACCGTGATGCGTTTAGCTCGAGCTTGAGTAAGCTGCAACCGTGCCCAGAGTACCAAGTCGAGGTTGCACCGAGCCTTCCAGGTTCCCCCGCTCACGTTGGCCGCGCACTTGCTGGCATAGCGGATCAGAACAAGCGCCCCCAGTCGAAGAGCCGCGTAAGCCAACTTCAACGCCATCCCGATAGCCGCCACCTCTCCCACATTGTTAGCGTGGCGCTCGGCCCCCTGAAACAGCGGAGCTAAGGGGTCCAAGATGACCGCTGCGTGGTAGTTCAGGTCCGAGAGAGGGGTTTGGATGTAAATGCCCCAGCCGCCGTCCGTGGTGCCAACTTATCCGAATGAGCCGTCCGCGTTGCACACCGCATCATATCCATAGGCAGCGACACCAGAAGGAACGTTGTCAGTGTCCGTAGCCTCGTCGTGAGCTTGCTCAGCAGAGGTCAACAGAGGAGAGACTCCGTGGGCAGCGAGAGCAGAGCCCAGATTCTTCGCGCACAACTCCCGGTTGAGGCGCGCGTCCTCCGTGGGACCCCGCATCTGGCTGAGATTGAGTCCACCTCGGCTCTGGCGTTGGTCGCGTTGTCGGAGATAATGCTGCAATCGAGCTTTACGATCAACTCGCTGCTGGTGCCGGCCAGGCGTGCTCAAGTAGAGGTAGACCGCCTTGCCGAAGTGATCACTGATAGACGACGAAAACGCGGTGACCGACTGAAATTCGTGCCGTATGGCGTTGGGCGCACAAAAGTTAATCGAGCTCGTACATCAACTTATTCTGATTGTGGCGCCAAGTGCCTCTGCACCTGATGCACTGGAGACTACCAATACAGCAGAGGTCCGTGCCATACAGCCAGTGTCATTGGATCCGCCCTCCAAGCGCGGTCGCAGTGTTGACCAGTCCGCGCGGGCCGTCGTGGGCCATGTCTCCCGGATGGTCGGCGCCAACGTGGCCGTTCCAATCGCCCGCCCACATTTGTGGAGCATCAACAGGAAGACGGGCACGAAGACTGGTGGCATGGGCGTATGCCTCCCGGCGCGGACCCACGGAAGGCGTCGTCGGCAGGTAGCAGCTGACGAATGCATACATGCGATGCCCAAGAGGAATGCCCAGCGCACAGAGGCGATCACCTCCATGCCACTCCTGCTAGCCTCCAGCCGCCCATTGGGCATACATAGGTAGCGCGAGAACCCATCCAGCTTTCAGTCCACAGATGAGTACACATTCTTCTATGTGCACCACCGCCCGATTGGTAGAGTGGAGCTCCGCGACGGAGAGCGTGTCAAAGCAGCGGGACCTCATCAGCAAGACCACCTGTTGCAACTTCTCGCGGTTGTCCAATCGGCTACAGCACAAGCATCGGATTTCAGAGTGCCAAGGGAAAGACGGGATCCGGCTGGGCGTTGCCGAGACGGACGATGAAGCTGACGAATGCGGTTGGATTGACGCCCCCGCGTCCTTTGTGAAACATATCTGACGACAGTCGGCAGCTCCGACTGGTCCAGGCAAGGGTGCGAAACCACAGGGTAGTGAGTGAAGACGGTTGCGGGAGTCACCCTGCGAAATATTCCACGTAGCCGAAGTCCAATATTTTTGCATTGAGCGACGTTAGCCACAACCACTGTCAATACCGTCGGGCCCCGGGCACTCTACAATCAATGAGCCGAGTGAAAGACAAGTCGAAGTGTACCTCTCCCCAACCAGTTCAGAGGTGTCGCAAGGGAGTGGAAGAGCATGCCAGTGATAGCCATCATGGCAAGGTGAGCGTTCGCGAAATCCGCCGCCAACTTGGACGGCTTCTCCGCGGTGTCACTGGACGTCAGCAACTCCCAGACGAAGTCGCCTGCAGCGGCAGCGGTGGCACCTTGGAGGTCGCACCACGACCGTGCAGGATGCTGGCGAACCTCAGGCCAGCCAAAAGCGACACGAAGCCGCGCAGCTGGCCGGAGATTTCGGGCGTGATGAAGCCCATGGCCGCCAGCATGTTCACGCGACCGCGCCTCAGCTCTGTCTGGCGCCGCCGATCGAAGATGTCCGTGGTGCAATCCGCTGTGAACGACGACAACAACAACAACCTTGGTGAAGGTGAGGCCCGCCGCAACACACGGATCGAAGGTGACCCCAGCCTGGACGATGCAGTCGATTAGCACAAACGAACAGCAGAATAGGAGAGGGGAGGAGGAGGAGGAAGAGGAGGAGGAGGAGGCAGCCTTGGGCCGCAGTACATGCAAGTGCGGCGGGGCGCCGCCATCACCAATCGAGCAATTGCGGCGGCAGGGCCAGCTGGGGCTTGTTCTTCCAGACCGTGGACATGCGGCCAGTGCCACCGCGGTGCTCGCAGAGGAAGCATTCCCAGTGCTCGTCAACAGCGCTCGGGCCGAAAATGTGGAAGCCACACGCGGCCGCGCACCGGTTCCTGTGCACGGAACCGGGCCACAATATGAGCCACAGTCTGGCTGCAGCAGCGTCGTCATCAGATCGAGCATGAGCCCGCGCGCCCGGGCCGCCGGCGCGAGGCGGCGGGCGGCCACTGAGGCAGCTGGGACTCAGGACCCAGAAGGGCAGGGTCCCAGAAGCACCCGGGATCCTGACCGCCCAGCTCGCTGTCAAACGCGCTCAGCGGGGACACTGGGTAGGGCGCCCTTTTCGTCTCGGACGGAGCCATGGCTATGATGGCACTGGTACTGGTACTGGTGGAAGGGGATGTCAGCGGTAACGCCTCCCTTCGCCCTACCCGCGGGACCACAAAACCCACCCCCGACCTCCTTCGAACCCCCAAACCCAGTAGGGGGGGGCGGGGGGGGAAGGGGGAAAGCTGACAAAGATGGGGTTGGGAGGCAACATACTTGTCCGTGTAACCTTCGACCGAGGATTTGGACACCAGGCCTGGGAGGGGCATGGTTGGGGGGGGTACGGTCGAAATGTGACAGCAGGGTGCCAGTAACAGAGAACATACAGAAGAGAGCCCCAAGGGGTGCCCTGGGGCGGCGCCCGTTTCAGCGAAGAAACAAATGCGCCGACCCTGATTCAAGCTCGGCCGTCCCCCTGGGTTGGGGGGGGGGCCCGGGAGGAACAGCCGGGGAATGTGGGGAATTTGGGGGGGGGTCCGCCTAAACCAAAAGCGCCCCTAGACCCTGACGCGACGGGCCGCCCACCCGCCCTTCTGGAGCCCCGCGCTCTCGCACGAGACGCGTGCCGTACCCCAGCCTAGTCCCGCTGACGTCCTGGGGGGCAGACGGTCACGCACGACAGCGGGGCCCGACCCGTCCTGGCGACCCCCTAGGACGTGCGCACTCGGACGACATAGGCCCCCTGCCCCCCCCGGGTAACTCCCACTAACCAGTGCCATGCCTGCGTCTAGCTCAGCCGCCGCCGCCCTCTCGGGCGAGACGAGGGGGGGGGAAGAGGGGTGGGGGGCGGTGACCGGCGCAACTTCTGTCTTCTGGCCGTGGCGACACCCCAGGACGCGGGCACCCACGGCGCCATAGGCGCCCTCCTCCCCCCGAGCGTGCTCTGACTAGGCTGTCCCATGTCCGCGTCTAGCTCAGCCGCAGCCCTCGCGGGCGGGGGGGGAGGAAGGAGATGTCGGTGGCCGGCCCAAAATTTTGTCGCGCGCTGGCAAAGTGAGCGTTCGCGATTTCCGCCGCCAACTTGGACTGCCTCTCCGTGGTGTGACTAGATGTCAGCACCTCCCAGCAGGAGCCACCTGCCGCGGCAGCGGTGCTGGCAGACAGGTTTGAGGACGGCTCGCAGGGCGCGCAGTACGCCACGACATGTGCCCTGCACGCCGTGCGAATTTCGGCACTCTCGCCAGCCGCGGCGGCGGCGGAGGCCACCGCGGCCGCGGCCGCACGAGCCGCCGCGGCGGCGGCAGCCGAAGCGGCGGCGGCGGCCACCGCCGAGCCCAGGACGGCCGCGCGCGCGACGGCGGCCGCAACACCCACCGAGCAGCCGCCCGCCGCGGCGGCGGCGGCGTCAGCGGCGGCCGAGGCGGCCGCGGCAGCGGCAGCAGGCATGGCCGACACGCGGCGCGCGGCCGCCGCGCCGGAGACGCGGCCCGCAGCGCCAGGGCCGCCGGCGGGGGCCGCAGCGGCGGCAGCAGCGCATATGCTGGCGGCAACGGCCGCAGGGCCAGCCGCGGCAGGGCCAGCCAGGCCAGCCGGCGGCGCCAGCCCCCGGGGCGGCGCGGCGCGCAAGGCGGCCGCGTGCCGCTGGCGGCGGCGGCAGGCCGACCGCGACACCGCCGCGCCACTGGCCGCGGCGACTTCGGCGGCGCCGGCCAGCGGTCGTCGCCGCCGCGCACCCAGTACGGCACCGGAGGTGGGGAGGCTGGGACGGGGCCTCCCTTTTCCCGCCCCCCCCCCCCCCCCCCCCAGGCAGGCGAGCTGGAGGCAGGGGCCACCCCCGACTCGGCGAGCGACTGGCTCGGCACTTGAGCCAGAGCGGACTTGAACCGGCTTGAGCCAGGCTACGGACACACACACACACACACACACGCAAGGACACACACACACACACGCGCGCGCGCGCGCCGCTGGTTAATGCGAGCACATAGAGGCCAGGCATTGCTCGCTTTATACTCGTATTGGAGGCCTGGCGTTGGAAACATTACGCGGCATGCTGTAAGTGTGGGTAGCATCACACCGATGTGAACTGTATTCCGTGAAGCTGCTTAGCGCGAAACGACTTAGCACATCAGGGCGCGGCGCGTAATGACCGACCACAGGCGCATGCTAGCCATGCAGACATGCGTTCACAATCGCTGTTTCGCGCAACCGCAAGTGCACTGTGCACTCACGCACTTACACGTGCCTACTCGAGCACATGAATACTTGCAGGCACACGTCCACGCGTGCGCTCGCGTACGTTCATGTGGCGCACGCGTGCGTGCCCCAACATGTATGGGTACGCCTGTGTGCTTGCACACGCTTGCCTCCCCGCACTCCGCCTTGCTCCCATCCCAGACTGCCATCAAGAAGAAGCTGCAGACCGAGCAAGGGTTCGAGGACCTCAAATCCGATATGAAGTTGGAGAGCCTCCGCTTCAAGGTTTCCCCGTAGGGATGCGGGAGCCGAGACAAGGGAAAACAGGATGAGGCGGAGGAGGAGGAGGAGGAGAAGGAGGAGGAGGAGGAGGAGTTGGTCGAGGGGAGAAGGAATAGGACTCGCGATAAAATGCATGCAGGCGTGGGTCCGGCCAGTCCCCATGTCGCAGCGTCGATTTGCAAGTGCACCCAGAGAACAACGCCGATGCAGTCAAAGTAATGGCATCCACCGTTGGTGAGCTCAGGAATTCCAGGGACCTTTCCACATGTCGAAGCTACTTCGATGGCACCTGCTGGAAACACAGCAAGTCGTCCGCCAGGGAGTTGTTTTGTATAGTCTTCCAAAGATGGAGGAGCACCGAGTGCTGCACGAGGTGTCAATGCCCTTGGCAGTGAACAGCACATTCCAACATGCCAAGCGGAGTTGAGTGCCCTTGTGATCGGGATTGCTGTGGTGACCTATCGTCTCAATATGATGACATATGCTTACGGGCAAGATCTTTGCAGGCGCCAGTCTGGGGAAAATTCCGTCGCGGGCCGATCGCCATCTCTCACAAAAGGCTTGTTATCGAAAGCCGGAGTTAATGAAGCGGATCGCTCAGAAGGAGCACAAAAGGAAAATGGTAGAATGCGCGCAGGAAGGAGACAGTGATAAAGGTGAACAACGCATGAAGCAAATCGGGCATTGACAGAACGCCCCTCAAGACAAGTCGATTGAGGATATCTGCACAGGTTCACTCGACATTAGAATTCGAGTGTACCGGTTCAGTCCCCAGTCGATGTGGCTAATCGACGTGCGCCCCGCCGAATACATTCGCTTGTTTCTGGACGTCGATTAGCTACCCCGCTGGGGTGCGCTCGGAATGCGGTGCTGTGCGCACGTGGAGTTATCCTGGCACCTTTCATTAACGGGCGTTTGGCGAAAGGGGGCTCTGTCCACCACGAGCAAAAGTAACGCAGAATTTGACAGAGGGGTGGAAACGGCCGCAGCCCAGAAGAATGACAAAGAAATCTGAATGAAGAGGTCGAAGAAAAAATGACAAGGTTGAGTTCCAAGGAAGGTGAGCGGCATAGCCGCGTCCGCCTCGATGTCACAGTGCCTCCGTGCGGCACGGCTTCGGCGCGAGTTCGGCTTCGGTGTCCGATCGGCTTCGGCGGCGAGACCGTCTCGCTCGAGGGTGTAGCTGTCCAGCTGAAGTGCTGGCTGCCGACCGAGCGTGGCGAGTCTGGAAGTAGTTCGGGCCGGCCTACGGCCAGGTATATAGCCTGAAACTGAAAGGTTGACGTGGTATTGAGGTCCGCTTACCATGCGTCATTACGGCATTGTCGTGCTAATGATAGCGCGTCGCCCAAACGGGGCGTCTAACATGTGCGTTGAAGCGCCGTGCGGCTTCGGGCTGCAACCATGAGCACCTGGCTAGTAGCGTCATCTCATGTGGGCGATTCATGCCAGCTTGCGTGGTCGAAATTGCCACTGTTGGAGTCCGGATTGTGGCAGGGAGCTGGGAATTGCTCACACGAAGAATTCGCGATGGATTCGTAGCACGTTTGGTTCGGCGTGGTTCGTGCGCTTTGCGGGGGCACCCGGAGCACTCGGTTCAAAATCAAGCCAGCGACGACGTGCCGCGCGGGCGGCGGCGGCAACGACCGGCGGCGGCGGCCGTGGGGACGCAGCCCGGCGAGGTGAAGTGCCGGGATGTCAAAGGCAGCTGGGCCAGCGTGGAGAGCCCGCGCGCGGTGCCCCCCCCCCGCCTCCCATCCGCAGCGCGTGGCAGACGAGGGCAACGAGGCGGGGGGCGGGTTTACGGGTCAGGATCGTTGAGTCGGTCCCCATGCCAGTCCCCCTCCCGATCCCCATCGTCCTACCACCCCAGCTGGGGATATGCCCCTCGAAGCTCGAGGGGAACAGCCTGTTTCCCCATCTGGGGGGGCAAATCGGCCAGTGGGACCCAGGCCACACCAGCGGGGATCACAGACCCCCTGATGTTTTCACAACGTCGACCCCCAGAGGTCTGAACCGCTTCCCAGGGACCGGTTTCTCATTCTGAGCCGTTTTTTACGTTCCCGGGGCCCAGCGAGGGCCAACAGATGTCGAAAATAGCAAAAAGCGCCCGTCGTGATTTTCTTCACGACACGAGGGAGTCTGGGATAGGGATCTGTCAAACGATGTTCAACGAGGGTCGCCGCTGACGGGGCTCGGCCAGTCTTCTCTGGCCGGTCGGGCCGCGTCCGCGGCCTCGCCGTCGCCTTCCAGGAGCTAAAGCCCCTACTCCTCCATTCTTTTTCATTATAGATAACTCTTCCCTGTCGCACCCCGAGGCCAGTTTTTAGGGCGGGCCGGGCGTTTCGCCTGAGACTGCCTCACCATTTATGATTGTGATGCTTGAAAAGTGACAACAGCTTCGCGGATGGAGGGCGGGTCGTTTTCAGAATGTGGCTCTCGCCCTAGCGCCGCGCACATTCGCTTTAAAAATGTGCAAGGGCTTCACAGATTGAGGGCGGCTCGTGTTCAAAAAGTGGTTCCCGCCTTAGCGCCGCGCACATTCGTTCTAACAATGTGCAAGGGCGTCACGGATTGAGGGCGGGTGGATTTCAAAATGTGGTTCTCGCCCCAGCGCCACGCACATTCGTTTTAAACAATTGCAAGAATTTCACGGATTGAGGGCGGGTCGTTTTCAAAATGTGGTTCTCGCCTCAGCGCCGCGCACATTCGTTTTCAACATTTGCGCCGCGCACATTCGTTTTCAAAATTTGCCAGAGTTCCAAGGATTTCCATGACCAAAGTACCAGAAATGATGTTTTGGAAGGATTCAGGATTATGTGGGTGCAACAGTTATGTTGATTCGCGGTGTTGAAGTCCCGAATATGAGGCTCGGGCACGATTCCAGATCGTCAAGACGCAGCAGTCAGGTTGATACGTGGCGTTGAAATCCCGAGAACAATGTTTTGGCATGCTTCAGGATCTTCAAACGGTTGTCTTCCACCAAGGCAGGTCCGTCAATGGAAATGAACCGTTGTTGGGGCCTATGAAGAAGGAGCTTGGAGGAAGAGTTAATTCCTTCCAACATCATTGATGACTCTTCGTTTTGCACTGGTCCTCTCCTCCTCCTCCTCCTCCTCCTCCCCCTCCTCCTCCTCCTCGTCCTCCTCCTCCGCCTCCTCCCCCTCCTCCTCCCCCTCCTCCCCCTCCTCCCCCTTCCCCTCCTCCTCCTCCGCCTTTGGCAAAACCCAGTGGAGGCAAGACGGCGGCTGGTCCGCTGGCGGAAATTCGGCGGAAGGCGCCAGACCAGAGCTCCGAATCATCAGGGCTGGCCCAGGCCTCCTCGCGTTGTGAGAGGAGAACAAAAAAACAAGAAATAAGAAAACGGGAGGTGCTTCCCTATTTTCGGCCTCCGGGGGCCCTTACCGGGCCTCGGGACCGTCCAAAAACGATTCAGGATGAAAGACGGGTGCTCGGGAAGGGGTCCAGACCTCTGGGGGTCGACGTTGCCCAAAAAAACAACGGGGTGCCAGGGGTACTTCCTGGCTCGTGCCTCGGGAGCCCACACCAGAGCTGCCCCAGACTGGAGCTATCCCGGATCACTCGGGCGTCCGACCATTCCCGAACCAATTGGGGCTATAGGGACGGTCAGGGGTTCAATTCCTGGTGCGTGCGTCCAGGGCCCACATTGGAGTTACCCCGGACCGGAGCTATACCGGATGATTCGGGCGTTCAAGTGGAAGTAAGAGTGAGACGTCAACATTGTCGGGTTCATTGTTTCGAGAATCGGCCCCCTCCTTTCCACTTGCCGACCAAAAAATCTGGAGGGTTTGTGGGGAGTCGTGGAAGTTGTGGGGGGGGCGGATCCGACGGTCTTCTGTCAGTTCGCAGAAGTTTCTTGGGAGGGTTCTTCAGGGTTCTTGGAGGTTAGGGCTCCATGGGCTAATGGCGGAAGTCGTCGTTGTTGTTTCTATGTGCCGGTAGGTTTAGGGGAATTCTCACCTTGCGGGTGTCCAAAGGTGTCACAAGGCATCTAAGTTTTTTCACGGCCCGAGGAGAAGTGAGGAGAGGGAAAGGAGAGCAGGAGGACAAGGAGGAGAATGAGGAAGAGCGGAGGGGAAGGATGAGGAGGAGGAGGAGGCGGAGGAGGAGGAGGGGGAGAGCGATGAGAAAGAAATGGAGGGGCACGGGAAGGGGAGATGTGAAGGGGTGAGGGCCAAGGAAGGGGGAGGAAGAGGAGGGGACGGAAGGGAAGGGGGAAAGGGAGGACGGGAGAGAGGGAGGAGAAGGGGATGGGATAGGACGGGAGGAAAGTGGGAAGGGGAGGGGAGGAGAGGGGAGGGTAAGGAAGATGAGAGGAAGTGGGGGGGGAATGGGAGGAGAGGGAGTGGGAGAAGAAGGTGAGAAGGTAAGACGAGGGAGTTACCGATCGGGCACGGCCCTTGCCGCAGATCGTGCAAGGCTCCGCAACACCAGACAAGATGGGAGGGTAAAGCGAAAGTCAGAGAAGGAGAAGAGCAGGAGGAGGCGGGAGGAGGGAAGAAGGGGGGGAGGAGGTGGAGGGGAGGAAGAGGGGGGAAGGGCGGAAGGAAGGGGTGGAGGAAGTGGAGGGTGGGAGGATCAGGAGGAGGAGGAGGAGGTGTCTCTTCATGATTAAGAGCTGCTATTTCGGCCCCCACCCCTCGCCCTGGCCTCGGCCGGGGTGGGGGGGCCATTCGATTCGAGGGTGCCACCCGTGTCGACAGACCTGCCCGCGGCATCGAGCACCGCGGGGGAGCATCGAGGCTTGTTTCGCGCTCTCAGGCGATCGCAAACATGGATCAAGGGGGACGTGGATTAGCGACGGGTCCCGTTTCCGTGGGAAATCGCGGATTTCCGCCGCCGAACGAGGCGGCACCGGCCGCATTTTGGGGAGGGCACCTCCCCCGATCCATGGATTTGGCGACCGCGCGCCAAATCCATGGATCGCTAATCCATGTTTGCGCGCCCCCGACGCTCGTGGTCCGTCCCCAGACATGCCCACGTCGTGGAAAAAATCAGGACGGGAGGCGTCTCGTCGTCGTCGGCTTCTGGGAAGCTTCACCAGGCCCTGGGACCGTCAGCAAACGACTCAGGATGAAAAACCGGTCCCAGGGAAAGGGTCGGGATTTCTGGGGACCCCGTATCCAAAAAATCAGGGCGTCGCATGTCTTGAAGGAGGAAGCGAAGGAGAAACAGCACCAGCACCAAAGCGGAGTCTGAAGCCTGAGGCCCTAGACTACCGAAGGAAAAGACCAAGAGAGGCCTACCAGCGAGCCGATCGCTGGTCAGCTGACGCGGACAGGGCTAAAAGACCCCGAAAAGCCGACCCATGGCGGGGCCACCGACGACTCGAGGCCAGGGGAGGGGGCCACGAGAAACGAAGGAGCCCTGCAGTTGCTGTTCAGGCCCCGAGGGGGCCCTCACCCCAGAGGCCTCCCCGCGATCGGGGGCGGGCCCTCCCGCAGTCGAGCCCATCTGCCCTGTGCAAAGGCTCGGTGGCCCTTGCACCCACCGCGGCAGAGATCCTGCCAACGCCGAGAACCGCGGAGCGCGTTCCACCACTCGCAAAGTGGCTGCTCGCAAACGTCCGAAAAACACATGCCTGCATCGACGCACTGCATGGCGGATCCGGACCATTTTGCGAGCAGCTACTCTGCGAGTCGTGGAACGCGCTTGTCTAGAAGAACGCAGACCCCCTCGCGATGCACACAAAATCACGACGGGAGGTGTTGTCCCTGTTCTAGGCCTGCTGTGTGTGTGTGTCCCCGGGCCCCTCTCTACAGAGGCCTGGGCCCCCTCCCCCGGACCGCCCTTCCACCCTGAGTTTGAGTCGGGCGCGTCCCTCTACAGGAGGAAAATTCAAAAACAGTCGAGAAAAACATTGTCTGGGGACGATTGTTCTACTATTGTTGAATACGCTTGGTGGTGTTTGAAAGTATTTTGCTACTTTCGCCAAATATCCGCCTGTAGCAGGACATGACCCCGACCTAACCCTGAATCGCTCCTCGACGGCCCCGAGGCCCAGCAGGTGCCTCCGAAGGCCGAAGCTGGCCAACAAAACCTCCCGCCGTGGCTGTTTTCAGGACGCGAGTCGGGGGCGACGATAGGGGGGAATGGGCACAGGGGGGGATGCATCGACCTCCGATCGCCCATCGATCGCCGAGGGGGGCCCGATAGCCCCAATCTGATAGCAAGGTGCGGATTCACCATCGGGGGCCTTTCGCCGATCTATCGGCGATGTATCGCCGATTCCAGGTCGATGCATCACCGCTTATGCCAGTCCCCCCCTTACCGTTGCCCCACAGCGAGGGGATCTCGGCCCTTCCTTGAGCCAGCCACGCGCAGAGGGGTGTAGGGGGAGGGGGGACGGCTTCTCAGAAGCACCCCTGCTTCTCAGAAGGCGCGGGCCTTGTCTGTAGATGCAGGACCGGCGCCTCTGAGAAGCGGCCGCCTTCTAAGAAGCCTTGCCCCCTCCCCCTACCCCCGTTGTGCGCGCCGCCAATACGAGCACGGTGCCAAACCGTGTGAAATATCACGCTGAGATCACGAACGTCCTGAGAGATCACGATCAGAAGCCGTGGGAGCATACAACATTTGCTGCATGATCCGAGCCGGGTCGAGGCGTGTGGACCCCGGGGCCCGAAGCCGAGCAAAAACGCGCGTTGCGGGAAAGCAATGCGACGACTGGATGCCATTTGGCGTCGCTCGGACGTGGGCATGTCGTTCCTCGGCGAGG